CTCGTTGAGGGCCACAAATTATTCCGGTTATTTACTCAGGATTGGAATAACCCGTCCCGTTGTTGATAAACAGCACAAAAGGAGTGGTTTGTTCCATGTGATCATTCATTGTTCAGGGACAATGGGAACTAGAAGGAAATTTTTGCTTTCTCAAAAACATTTAAGTAACTCATAGGAAACACTGCAACGACGCTTTCTTTGCATTCACAGTGTAGATGCCCCTTTTGTTACAGTATAATACTCAGTTATAAGTTTACTCTACTATACAAGCCGTGATGAAAAATTCATTTCTTCAGTTTTAAGTCAATGAATTTTGCGTTTATTCTGAATTGAAGCAGAATTCGTTTTCTGACGCGTACAGTCATTGAGACGTTATACAATCAGACAGCCCAACTTCAACAGGAGTGGACCTCAGGAATAATGTTATCCATGTATGCAGATGATAATCGAGCATTGAGTTTGAAGATGCGGTGTTTTCGTGACGGTCGTGAAACGAAATTTGTAAAGGAAGTTTTGCCAAAAACGTTCGCGATTTACAGTTCGATATACACGCCGCCCGCGACAAAATCATTTGCTCAATAAATACATCTGTCTTGATACTACCTCACTTAAGGTTGACAATAGCCTATGTCTAGATGGATACCCTCTAAGGCAGAAGAGGAAGTCCACTTCCAATTCCACGATTCGATTGAACAAACTTTTTCGGTTGTCTTTTGTCAGAGTTCAACGCTGTGCAGTGCATCGTTTGACAAAACTTCCTGTGTTCGAGACCCTTCGAATTCCTAACTAGTGACCAGTTTACAACATGACCATTTTACCGCATATTATTCCTGTTTGTGGTATACCTTAGTACTTTTTTATTTATACTTAGAAAGCTTTTATTTGATGTAATTGATAACTTCTTTGTGGATATCAGTTTTTACAACCATCAACCATGCACTTTCCTGTTCCGGTTTCGGTTGCCGTCCTTCGGTCGCTCATTTGGATATAAGAACAGGATTAAGATTGGAATGTTGGAATCAAATCCAAGCGGAAGACGGAGAATTCATGTAGACTGGTTTTAAGAGAACAATGAGTAGATGCATGAGCGGTACTATTTACCTCATTCAGCTACATTGCTCAGTGTCCCTAACCATCTGTTACCATAATTTTCGGGTCCCTAGCCAGGGAACATAACGAGACCTATGTGACCCAATCTCCTGGTTAGGGTTTTCATACCCACATGCAAGGTCTTCATTTAACCACCCTTGACCATTATGCAATGGCTACCTGCCTCGACAAACATCGCTGGCCTTGGCAGCCTATCTGGTGACATGAGTAAAATACTCTCCAACCGACGTGGTCTATGGAAGTCGATTGAAACAAAATAAATGAATGTCTTTTTACTTACCGTTTTGTAATTTATTGAATATACAAATGTAAAGTCAACTTTCAGGAAGGAGGCTGCGAACATACAAAGGGTGTCTGGTAAATGTATAACTACATAAATTGCCTCAGTGGACGACCGCGACTACCTAAAACTCTACATCTAACATCAGCACTGCTTGTCCGGTTAACCCACCAGACTCGTGCAGTGCGACGTAGAGAGCCGTTTTCAAACACTGAAAATCTATTTTTATCCTGTTTCCGTAGTAGCCAAGCTTCTGCACAGTAGAGCAGTACTGACCGAAGTGCTGCAGGGTACATTCGAGAGCCGGATGTCACGAAGGTGCCACAGATGCCTCAAGATAGTATCGCCAACCGAGCCTTAATCAGTGTAACATTTCTATACCGTTTCTATTCAGCCGTGGTTCCCAATGATGATATTTGAAATAAATGAATTCGGGTTTACCTCAAAATTAGGATATATCAATTTAAAATTTTCGCACATTCATGAATAAAGCTTAGAATATAAGGCTATATTATGACCAATCTAACAAAGCTCAAGCTGTTTGATCATGAAATGGTTCTTCGTCGGACAACCTCCTCGATCCAATCGAGAACCAACACATTGACTCGAAAATTGTAAAGTAGAATTCGAGTGGTTTACTCTATCAAGTGCTTTGGAGAAGTCCAAATAAAGTATGTCCAGTTATTTACCTGCAACGACTGATCTCGTTCAGTCACCACGTACAAGAAGGAGATCTTTTGGTGTACGATTATTTGTGCCGAAATGTGTACTGATCTATAGACAAAATGTCATGTCCCTCCAGATCGTTCATCAAGAAATCTGGGGCAATAAACTTCATGACTTCCACAGTGTCCGAAGAAGTGCTACCGGATGGCAGTTGACGGGAGCTTTGCGAGATCCTTCTTTCTAGATAGTTGAAATCGGCCATTTTGTAACACAAAGGTGGATGCTCGGACATGTTATTGTTATCTATCCTCGGTTATAAATTTTACACAACGTTAGCAGTTTTTTTTTAACATTTCACCGCCAAAATTTGTTTTAGCCATTGACCGTTATGGTATGCTGGATTACATGCTTGGAATCAGTAATTCTTTGTGTCGTTGCAGTAAATATCTGACCGAACTGGGTTTTCAGGAACTCGTTTGAATCTAGCGCAGTCCTTGAAACATC